GTAGCAAAATGATCATTTAAATGTTATTTTTCTTAATTGCATTTACACTCACATTTAAGGCTCTTGCTATTGCATTTTCATTAAGTGTCGCGCAATGAATGTAGCCAAATTCAATGTGCAAATTGAAAATGCATTCCAAGCCGATCACGTGCCCGTCACGTCCCGCCCTGTCAAATCAACTTTGTCTAACATAGTTTTACTGAAAATTTTCTCAGTAAAACTATGTTAGACAAAGTTGATTTGTGAATCAAAATATCTAATTTACTTATCAAAGATTCTGCAAAAATCCCCCTTGAGAAGAGATCTTTAGAAATTGGGTTAAAGCTGCAGTCCGTAGCTTTTTGGGGGTTAAAAATTATCCAAAATACATATTTGAGAAAATACATAACCAGCCAGTGTTAAAAACTCTCTGCTTGCCTTAGCTCGATTCAAAGCGGCAAGCTTGTAATAATGTTTTTAATTCCAGTGGTACTGGTGGATTTCCGCGGGAGATTTGAGCATGTCTTTGCGTCATTACGTCACATCTGTACACATAAAGAAGGAGTCTCGGCTAGTAGGCTATATTGCGAGTGAGGATGCTGGAGGTGGAGATTTATAGCCTTTTCTCACAGCACTTGATATAATTAAACTTATCAATTTGATGGCGGATCCAGAAAGGTTCAAACGACAATCACCAGTGACAACAGATTCACCCGCTGTAAAATCCAAAAGACTTCGTTCGGACTTCGGAGTGGCTACAGAAAAAAAGAGACTGCAACCGGGCCCATGTGAAAACAAGGATACATATCGGAAGGACATTACATGTAGTCACGCAATGCTGACGTTGTTAACATTAACAATTTGAGAACAAAGTATAATTTGCATTGGTTTTGTGTGATATGATAACTTACAGCCTGCACAGTCTCCTCAAACATTGTGTTCATCCGCGCTGTGCCGTGTCGAGGGTGTTGAAGTACAACTCACGTAAAGTTGATAATTCCGCGAATGACTGCAATTGCAGATTTCGAACAGAGATGGCGACAAAGAGGAAAAACGCCGGACTGCAGCTTTTTCGGACAGAGCAATTTCTGGGCACTTCAACAGGTGTCTCCTTGTGAGGGTGACAGTGGGAAAAAGAGTTTTCGAGGGACATTCAAAGTATTTTTTTAACTTAAAAACATTAAGGCCTGCCCTTTTAATTCCTGAATAACAAGGACAGGAGTAGAAATTAATTGTTGCCATATGGCAGCGTTGTGCCATAAAGGGTTAACCACTATCTACATAAGAGCCAGCCGCAAATTCTTGAAGGACTGGCCGAGATGAAGGTGTTGTCTGCGGGTACATGAGCGCTAAATGGCCGCTGATGGTCTGGAGCTCAATCTCCGAAAAGGTCGAAACAAATTGTCAAATATGCGCTATGTTTATATATGAGTAACATAATTTTGAGGTCTAAATACCTGCATTCTTGCCTAAAAAACTATTAGAACTACATTTCATGACACAACAGTAGTAGTAGGCCTATTTAAAAAACAATTAAAAATAAATAAAAATTGGTGGATTTGCTTGACAATCATGACAGTCGATGTAAGTGGAGTGATACAAATGGTGTAACGTTCCTGTGCTGATACTGGGGAAATATCGCACAGCTGGAAAATGCTCTCAGCCAATCAGATTCGAGAACCAGAACGAGCCATTCCACCGAAAGGGTGACATTTCTATCCCCAGGACATTAAATGTATAAAATTGCATGAAACTCTAAAAGACATTTTATTATTAAGCTAAATGTCCTGCACATTAAGCTAACTACAAATTTAAAATGTATAATTAAAAACATTAATAAAAACTACATAAAACACAAAAAAATGGCATTTTCTGCATTCTCCACTCTCTATCTCTAAAATTTGCCATGAAATATGATGATTAAAATCCTTCAGAAATCTTCATTTGTTTGCATTGTTGTGTGACTTTATATCCAATCTATGCTTTAAAATGTTTGTTTTTTTTCATGAGAAAAAATTATTTTATCTAATATTTTAGATAAAATACAAAATTTAGTCGTGTCTCTGGGTTTTCACTCAGTCCTGTTACCCTAACACATCCAGGGTAATTATTAGGGGGCTCTGAAAAACTTGGAATATTCCACAAGACACATTTTCAACAGGAAGTTGCATCATCTGGATCTTCTGAAGGCAATGGGAAGACCATAAGTAAGTCCTCTCTTTTTAATTTCTGTATATTTGATGAAATTGTAACTATGACTGAGAAGGTCAATCTCAACACACTGTCCTGTTACCTAAATTATTTCTTAGATTTTATTTGTTTATTTTAAAAATATAAACTTTTGGTAAGTCACTAGACATTGCTCAGTGTCCTTGTGCTATTAGCATGTATGTTATGTGGCCATATGCCATGTATTTGATGACTTTTTTGCTTAAAAACTCAATCCTGTTACTTTCAGACCTGTTGCTTATATGAAAAATAACAGGAGTGAGTTAAAGTAACAGGAGTGAGTAGAGTCCTCTGTTTTGTTGATTTAATACTGTAAATATTAGTTGATATAATACTATTCACCTGAATTATGAGTTTTAAGGTTGCAATTACTTATAATGTAGACATTAGCATTTCTTTTACAATATGAACCATACTTCCAGGAAGCTAGTCCACCACGAGCTGACTTAAACGTTTTGTCTTTGTCTTTCTTATATTTTGTTGAAGATGGAGAGAACCCATACTGTGCAGGTGCCAGAAACACCCACCTATGGCATATTGCAATGAAAGGAGCGAAACACACCCGCAACCCTTTCTTTTTCCCCCTTTTTGTCTTAACTTCCTTTTTTCTCCCTCCCTCTCTTCTTCTCTCTTTTTTTGCATTGTGCATTTTGATTTTGCATTGTGCATTACCAACAAAAGTTTTTTTGTTTAAATGTGAATATTCAGATTCTTCTTTTTGTACTTTGTGCAATGAACTTGACACAGTTTTTCATGTTTTCTGTGAATGTTGTAAATTATCTCCACTTTTTAATGTTTTGGATAGAATTTTGAGCAGTTTAGGAATAATTTTTTCAAAAACAGTGTTTATTTTTGGTTGTAAGTATTCTCGCGATAAGTGGGAAATCTGTACTTTTTCTAATTTTTTGGTTGGTCAAGCAAAATTAGCCATTTGGAAAGCTTATAGAATTGAAATGGAAGGACAAAAAGTTAATATGGTTAATCTATTTAAGGCCTTGGTTGAATCCAGGGTAAGATTAGAATATGAATTTCATAAAATGCATTGTAATCTCCTAATGTTTGAGAAGAAATGGTGTGTAAACAAAAGTTTAATTTTTATAGAAGGGGAAGATCTCTTTTTTAAATGGTAATGTTTTGATAAAAATTATGTTTTTTAGATGTTAAAAAAGTTTTTTTTTTTAATGATGGAATAAATTGCTTTAAAAAGTCAAAAAAAAGTCTCTTCTTCTCTCTCTCCTTCTTTCTCTTTCCACCTCATTCTCTGTGAAGTACTACTAGCGCATAGTACACCACTTCAACACAAATCGTATGCACACACAGTCATCTACACTCTCTCTCACACACACACATATGGACACTCATTCCTGTTACCCAAGTGTTCATTCCTGTTACCAAGTGTTCATTCCTGTTACTATTTTTTTCTTTTTTCTAAAAAAATAAGGTTAAACCAGTGTTTTTATCAGTTTTGTTTGGTCCATCATTTATACAATAGTTTAATAAATTAAATTATTAAAACAATTATAAATTTGAGGGTTCTGTCTTCTTTAAAATGAAAAAATGGCTTTGTGTTTTTTATTAAATTTGTGTTTTTAAACATGCTTTTTAAATGGCACATAAGTTTCGGTAACAGGACTGAGAAAATATGCGTCCATCTTCTGCTTAAACCTGGTAAAAAAAATAATAATAAAGTTGCCTGAGATTGACCAATACACATTTTGAATAGTTAAATATGTGTAGTGTCAGATTCAGTGTTGAAAAAAGATAAAAAATCAAGTAAATTTTGAAGAGTTACAACAAGCAAATGTCACCCATTCGGTGGAATGGCCCAAATACATTTGCTCAACTAGAAAAAAAAAATGAAATGGTCTTAAGGAGCTTCCTTCTTTAAGTTACAAATAGCTAAATAAAAGTTTAGCTACATTTTAGGTCACAATGTCAGACTGCAGTATTCAAAATATTCCAGTAGCCTGTTCAAAACCTCACGGTCAGCACAGCAGTAAATGGTGCAGAATATCAGAATGAAGTAAGCTGAAGTACACAGTACCGGCTTAGAGCACTCACACACACACACACACACACACACACACACACACACACACACACACACACACACACACACACACCACCATATGGCCCCAGCATCAAGTGTCATGTTTACAAGCGCATTGGAACTGCACTCGTCCTTCTTACCATTATCTTTCCATCCGAACTCATTCAAAGTAACTCCAGCATAGAAACGTCAATCCTCAAGTTATTCCAAAACAGTTTCTTGCCATCCTGCTCATCATTTTAGCGTTTTGAAATGTGGGCTAATTACACAAAGCCCCATCAAGCCTGAAGTGGAACAGCCTTCCAATGGCTTGATAATTCCCCACTCCACACTTGTCTGTTGTGTTGTACAGCCCTAGTGCCTCAGCATGCATATTTAATGTCATCTATTATGCTAGTTTTCTGTAATGAATAGAGTAGGCAGCTCTAGGTTTTCAGATAAATACAGAAAGCTAACAGTTAACATCTTGTGAAATAAAGAGTGCTTCTGAATCACCACCCATGTTTAAGTTGTGAGTTGAACTTACTGGTGTGCTGCAATCATATAAAGTCTTCACCATATAACCACACTTTATTACAATGCACAAATGTAAGTTTTACACTGGATACGCTACATTTAAAAAAAACATTTGTAAATCTTCCTTGGATATGTGCATCACAATCTCATCACCTGGGCCATTACAGATGCAATTAACCCTTAACAATGATTTAAATGGTTAACTAATACACCATAAAAGACCTACCTGGTGATAAATTGTAGTGTTGAAGTTCAACATAATCTGCTACTCCTTAGAGGAACATGATCTTCTCTTGCTATCTTCATCTAGTATGGATTCTGGACAAGTGTTCTTGTCTAAGTGCTTCAAATAAGAATGAACTATGATCATTGAAGCCTGTCATGTTAGTTTTATGGGATTGTAAAATACAGCTGACACAGGATTGGAGCAATCTATCTGCAAATCTTAATGACAGTCATTGCTTTGTGTTGAAACTCTTTTCTTTCGTCACTTTACCCTGGTAGTCTTATACATTTTCAATGGCTTTTATATATGTATTATACATCTATTTTCTGTCTAGTTGTGCTGACTGTCTGCAAGGAGTAGTTCACATGATCAATGTCACAAATTTGGTTAGTGACCTAGAAAAGTGCAGAATATGAAATATGTCTGAAATATCACATTTCTTCTTTTTTCTCCTTTTTTTTGAATGCCAGATTTTTCAAGTAGTCTCAGACTTTTATTCCTTACTGTACATGTCCAATTCAGTTTATTAAAAAAAACATTATGAAAGGCACAAATAAGAACAAAAATCTGAATATTTATTTGAATGGGTTTTGTCAGGATGTTTTTCATAAACAAAATAATCACTTTTCAATGACTGACCACAGGTTCTTCCATGAAGTTCTGCGAAACACTGCAGTTGTTAACAGAAAAATGTTCTGTTGTGCATGTATCAAATGTTCTGTTGATACTGTAGAGGATCCGAAGACTAGATTTTATTTCTTCACGATCTGAATGACATCCTCGTGTTCCATGATGTGTGTCAGTCCTACTCTCTGAGGACTGTACTTTGTGCTTGTTCCCTATGATCCAAAAAGACAGTAGTTGTTGAAGAAAAAGCACATACGGAACAAAAGCAAGACTATGTTTCACTACAGGTGAAAGAGAATCTTACCCAGACAAGAGCGTACTTGAACTGGCTAGCTAATGTCCTGTGAATTCTGTGACACTGGAAGAAGTAAGAGGCGCAAGCATGAGTTCATACAAGTAATTGACATATACAGAAGTGGCCAAAAGTGATGTCCGGCCTCGGAAAATTTACATCTTCACACTTTATTCAAATATTGTTAAAAATGTGTTAAAGCTTTTGTAAGCTTATTGAGTAGTTGTGCTTGAAGTCAATGTATAAGGCAATGAAACATGCCAAATTGATGGATATAACTTTGGGCCAGGCTGTCATATTAAGAAATTATGATGCAACAAAATATTAAACACTATGTTGTAGTCAAACTATGCTTTTTCCTGTGAGCTTTTTGGTTTTTTTGCATAATAAAATAAAATCAGTAGCTGTAGTTTCCCTATTTTGTCATAAATACCTTAACCAAGTGTAATGTTTTGTTCTTCCCTGATGTTTTAAATATTTTCCTCATATTTTGATGGTTTCATCAAACTTGTAGGGTCATTAAAAACAAATATCCCCTCCGGATATCCCTTTTGGCCACTATAGTATACAGTATGATGAAGATTTAGTTAAGACAGCATATAGAATATAAATGCACATATTCAGGTACATTTTTACACAGTGCACAACACTTCATCATCATCTACAATGCGGTTTTCTAAAATGTTTACATTTTTGGTTAAAGGTGCACTGAGTATGTTTTTTCACAGGTTGACCACAGCGTAACACATAAATAAAGTTGCAGGTAATACAGAGACATACCACATGTTCAACTGATGCTCCTCGTCTCATGATTATAGGGTCACCGAAATCTGGTCGTGCTACACAACAATAAAAAAGGAGGGGAAGAAAAACACAATAATTATAGAAATTAAAATATCTATACTGTACTGGCTTTTATTTTTAACAGGAAATGAACACAATTACACCTCTTCAAAATTAACGCTTTGTAAAAAGTACTGTACAGCAAAGAAACAGCACTCGTTCTTATGGCAATCCTTGAAAGGGAACTTCCCAAATTTCTGTTAAGATTTAAATTTAGCCGCAATGCTTTAATACCAAATGTGAGCCTTTTCACGTGGATGGAAAGCCAAAATAATACCAAAATAAACCAAAATCTGATGCCAAACAGACTTGGTTTACACTAAAAACTCATTAATAGATTACAATAATCTATCTCTAATCTCAATTAAAATGCTAAAAAGGATCATTAACTTAATGTATCAATACAAAACAAGCAGCTTTGTCATGATTACAGCAGAAATACTGTAAATAGAGGTAGGACTTCAAATATGTTGGACAACGAGGGGCCTTTGAGTCAAAAAGGTTGAGCAGCACTGCTCTAGTGTGAAAGGCTGCAAAAATTTTAAATGACTAAAATATGAGGACAAAAAGGCACACCTCCTCTCTTCTTGGTGTATATGCAGATCAGAGCCAGGTATTCCCACAACTGCTCAAGGAGGTAATCTAGATTCAGTTTCATGCCACAGCTGATCACTACACTGTTAGGTCTATGGGCCAGACGATCCACTTCCTCTATAGAAATCTGGTCCACTTTGTTGTACACCTGTAACAAGATTAATCAAATTTGCCAACATACTGTTAAATCTGAGAAGCTTTGCATTAGGCTGATACTTGAATTGAAATATATACTCACATATAAGCAAGGCATGTACACTCTGTTGCCCACAATGACATCAATAAATTCATCGGGAGTGCTGTCCTCTCTGAACAAAACCTCAGCATTGAAGATTTCTGCATTCAAGTTAAGGTAGACGTGTCGCTCTTCATTAGAGGAAAATTCAATAAAGTGACTAAACTAGGCAAAAGGATACTGTACTCATGAAGAATGAGCTGAACAAGCTTCTCAGAGCAGTGTGTGAGGGGAACCGTTGAATTGTATGATAAGCCACCACCTTTTTTAGGCTGAAAAACAGATATTTTACATGTGAACAGATAAATAAATAAAAAGCAAAAGTAATGTTTCAGTATATCTGTGTGTAATCCTATTAGTCTCTAAACAGTAAACAGTGTCAGTATTTCAGATTTTTTTTTTTTTTTTTCAAAAGGACAATTATACATGTAGTGCTTCTTGTTGATATATCGTTATGTTTGACAATGATTAATAAGTGCTTATACACCACTGTTCAAAAGTTTGGGGTCGGTAAGATTTTTAAATGTTTTTAATGTGTTAGTATATTATACTCACCAAGGCGTCTTTTATTGGATCAAATATACAGTAAAAAGAGTTAACCATTTTCTATGTAAATATATTTTAAAATGTAATTCATTCCTGTGATGTCAAAGCTGAATTTTCAGCATCATTACTCCAGTCTTCAGTGTCACATGATCCTTCAGAAATCATTCTAATATGATGATTTGCTGCTCAAGAAACGTTTCTTATTACTATCAATGTTGAAAAAAATAAACAGTTTTTACTGCTTCATATTTTTGTCAGGATTCTTTGATGAAAAGAAGGTTTAGAATGACAGCATTTTTCAGAAATAGAAAAATGTTGTAACATTATGTCTTTACTGTCACTTTTGATCAATCCGTCCTTGCTGAAAAAAAGTATAATTCTCTTTAAAAAGAAATATGGTATTTTAGAGAGAGTAAAGTGGACTAAAATTAATGAATGATATTCTACACAATATTGACTAAATTTAAAGGACATGTTAGTCAATAGACAAACTGAAACACTGACCTTAAAATAGATATTTGGTTTGGGACGGTTGAGTCTAATGCCAACAGTTTCAAGTTCTTTTTCCAGAAGTTCCCTGAAGAACAAAACAACAATCATCAAACAGAACAATAGTGCAAATATTGCAAACATTCTCCAAAGACTACGGCCTGGTTTCACAGACAGGGCTTAGATTAAGCCAGGATTAAGCCTTAGTTCAATTAGGACATTTAAGTAGCTTTTATAAACGTGCCTTACTGGTACTAAAAACATTGGCTTAATACTGGCTGCTAAAAAAAAAAAAAAAAAACATTACTGGTGTGTATCTTGAAACAAACAATGGCACAGAATTATTTTAAGATATATCAGTGAGAGTTGCTTTCAGTTAAAACAGCTCAAAGCATTTTAGTCTGGGACTAGGCTTAAGCCTTGTCTGTGAAAATATTTCAACTCACCTCTGAACCTCTCCTTTAGTTGCATCCAACATCATGATGACCACATCTGCAGTTCTGGCCACAGCAATGACCTGTCTACCTCTGCCCTTACCTTTCAAACAAAGATTCATGAATTTAAACAAATGTCAAAATATGTTACACTTAAAAATGTACACTACAAAAGAAAATACCTTGTGCAGCCCCCTCAATGATACCAGGCAAATCCAGCAGCTGTATGTTGGCACCTTTGTACTAGAATTGAATTTTTTAACAAATTAAATTAAACCAATATCATGTCAGATATACATGTATATGATACTACATACAAAACTAGATATTATATCATAATATTGTAATTACTATAATAACAATAGTAATGATATAAGCAGAAAGAAGAAATTAACAAAAACAGAGAGGAAAGAGAAATGTTATAACATAAATGATACCTCAATGACACCTGGAATGCAGGTCAAGGTGGTGAACTCATATGAAGCCGCTTCACTTGCTGTTGATGTCATTAAACTGAGAAAAGTAGACTACAAGAATACATCAATTAGAGCATGTCTTGTCCATCATAAATATGGCACAGTTGGTGTCATTGTTACCTTGCCAACTGAGGGGAATCCAATCAGAGCCACTCTAGCATCGCCAGATTTCATAACATCGAAGCCTTCACCTTTGGCTCCAGCTGATTTTGAGGGCTCCAGAAGCTGGGCTCTGTACTTGGCTAACTTGGCTTTCAATAAACCCAGATGGTACTCAGTTGCTGCAAAACAAGTTGGAAATCAATCAGGGTTTAATCGATGAAGAAGTAAACAGATACAAAGCAACTAAAGGCCCATTGGACATTTAAACCAGGGTCTCTTGACTTACCTTTATTCTTCTGTGTTCGAGAGATTTCTCTCTCTATCTCCGCTATCTTTTCCAGAATCCCCATTGTCAATGAAGTGTGATATGTTTCCTAATGTGAAGCCTGTGAACATTACAGTAGCATGAAATAAAGCATGTCCATCTGCTCTCTAGCTACGTTGTCAGTAACGTCAGTAAGCTAAGCTAGTAGGCAATTATATTAAACTTATCAAACACTGTTGCAGATTGATATGTGATGTAATACAAATATCATACCAAATGGCTACTTATAAAAAATCAACACTTCAGAAAGTATTAGACACTGTCACTCGTGTATTTAAAGAAGTAAATGCTGTGATAATTACAGTTTTAGGCAGCCCGAACTCTGCGGCATGGACTGCTGGTGACGTCACCACTCGCTGGTGGACACAGTGCTGCACAGAAATTGCTCCGGTGTGAAACTAATTCTTTAATGTTTAAATCCTGAAAAAAAAACTTTTTCATATAGCGCTTACATTTATCGTGATATGTCAGTTATATTTTACCCATTGTTGCCATACTGTTGATAATTTATACAAGACCAACATGTTTGACAACAAACGTTCCTATCAATCATGCATAACACAGTGGTTGGAATTCAATTCCGACTCATTTCCGCGAATCGGTTCATTTGAACAGTCGTTTCACAAAACCGATGTAGTGATTATTTCACGTCAGCATGTAATTACTTCGGATTTTGGTCCCTTCCATATCGTTGTAGAATAATGTTCTAGTAAAGCCAGGTGAAGGCACATATCGTCGTTCATGAAAAATTCAGTATGCTCATTGAGAAGAACCGACTGAACGATTCGCTCACATGGGAAGTACACAAGGTTGCCAAGTCCGCGGTAAACGATGTATCTTGGGGTATGTGAGTGGCATATTTTAATGGATAATAGTTAGCCCAAAAAATGAAAATTCTGTCATCATTTACTCACCCTCAAGTTGTTCCAAACCTGTATGAGTTTCTTTCTTCCAGACAGTTGATGGCACCCATTGACGTAAGGGGGAAATACTGCGGAAGTTCAAGTCAGTGCCTACCGTCAACTGTTTGGTGACCAACATTCTTTAAAATATCTTCTTTTGTGTTTAACAGAAAAAAGAAACGTATACAGGTTTGGAACAACTTGAGGGTGAGTAAATGAAGAGAATTTTCATTTTGGGGTGAACTAGTTTTGATTGGGCTGGGAGATCTGGCAACCCTGGCCTGTACATAACACATCGTGCGAGTTTAAACATGGCAGCCGCTGCCGGGTCGCGATCCTCCACGCAAAATAACGCTGGTATGGAGGGTTTCCCTTTCCCCGTGGTTGACAGACCACCTGGGGACAGTACGAGTAAAGACCCGACCACTACCGGAGAACCAAAAAAGAAACCGTGCCGAGCGTGTACGGATTTTAAATCATGGATGAAGTTGCAGAACCAGACGTCCTCAGCCTCAGTGCAGGTGACAGTGAAACTACAATTTTGAATGAGAATCAGGACTCAGGAGTAAAACATCAGTGTAAACAAAATAGATTGAATGACAACTAAACACATGTATCCTTGCTGAACTTATATCGACTTGTCAGTTGTATTGTAACGTTAAATGTTTGGATTTTTTACATTTCAGAATTACATTTTAATCTTTCACCTCTTGCACTATAGTTTTACTATAGTAACACTAAATATAGTAATAACTATGGTATATGTTTTGGTGGCAAACAAAATTCTATCACTGAATAAGAGACAAACATTTCCAATTGTCTTTGAGGTTTATTTTCTTGCAAGAAAGCAGTCGTACAGTCACACAGATCGGCTGCAGAGTGTGAGGGAAGGGCATCCTTCCTCTTTTGTAGTCTTGACTACCAGAATGTTGTCTTTCTAGGCCAATGATTGTATTTTCAACCATATGTGGAACATTCTTAAATATTGTAGATTCATAATAAATAGGCTAATCTATTTGGGGGACTAATGGAATCAGATTTTAATACAAGTATAGTAGCCAACATTCTAAATGTGTTGGCTACTAATAAGTAAATTCAATATTTTTTGCAGTGGTTCTCAACCAGTGGGCCTCAGTAAACTTCCAAAGGAGTTGCAGGATGACTTTAAAGCATTTACATTAATTAATCATTATTAATATGATAATAATAATAATGTAATAAAGTATGATAATAAGTAATATGTAAAATAACCTAACAATAATTTACATTAAACTGCTTTAAAAAATCAAGATATAAATTGAAATCATATTTCTTTTTTATCCCCACTGTAACTATTGTTTTTAATGAGGAACATACAGTTTTTAAAACTTCTGGAATCACAAAATGAACTGTGGTTGATTTATTTAATATGTCGATACTCTCAGTTTCTTTTAATAAAAGTAGTTTGAAAACGAGCAGATTAATTACAGCAGAAGTATCTGAGCCTATGAGAGAGGGTGCCTTTGAATATTGTGTTCAACATCAGAGGGCCTTTGTGTCTAAGTGTGAGAACCATTGTTTTAGAGGAACCAGTTACACTGAACTAATTGGTAGAAGAAGCCAGTCATGGTTATAGTCAGTGTTGGGGAAAGTTCGCAATGAAAAGTAATGCAATACAATATTGCGCTACTCCCTTAAAAAGTAACTAATTGCGTTACTTAGTTACTTTTTTTAGAAAAGTAATGCGTGAAGTTACTTTTGCATTACTTTTTCCCCCTGGGCTGGGCTTGTTTTTTTATAACAAAAAAGTTATATTTTTTGGCAAATGTAAAGACCCTTTCACACCAAAAGTGAAATAATACGCCTTATTATTCATTATTCCAAGTTATTTTTTCTTATGGTTTAACTGATTCATCGAAGGTAGAAGCAAGTATATTGGTCAATAAGGTGAGATTAAATGCATAAAAATGTATGTTTTATTTAGGGCTGTCAAATGATTAATCGTGATTAATCACATCCAAAATAAAAGTTTTTTTTTTACATAATATATGTGGGTGCACTGTGTATAATAATTTTGTATATATATATAAATACACACACATGCATGTATATTTAAGAAAAAAAAATTATTTATATATAAAATATTTATATTTATATATAATATAAATTATATATAAATCTATATACAGTATATACATGAAAATATTTCTTAAATATATACAAGCATGTGTGTCTATTTATATATATAAAATAATTATACACAGTGCACCCACATATATTATGTAAAAAAACCTTTTATTTTGGATGTGATTAATCACGATTAATCATTTGACAGCCCTAGTTTTATTTAACATATTTAGTTATTGGAGGTTTGCATAGTATTTTGAGGAATATTGAAGCTTTTTTTGTGCAAGTGAGATGAGTAAATGCACGCTCACGTTTAGTCTAGAACTAAAATAACCATCATGTTTACACACAACGCCTCTCCACTTCGATTTGTCTCAGCATGGGGTCAGAGAGCTATCAGTCAATAAATGGGAAAACAAGGTAACTAGCGTTACTTATTTGAAAAAGTAACTCAGATACTTTGTTGTAAATTTGAAAAGTAATGTGTTACTTTACTAGTGACTTGAAAAAGTAATCTGATTATGTAACTCAAGTTACATACTGGTTATAGTTACTTGTCAAGAACTATAGTTTAGCTGCCAGAGCAACACAATAATGTTGTGCTACAACAGTTGCTATTTACAGTAAACAATCATCTGATATTTGAACAGGAGAGCAGGGCGGTGGAGGAAACTAAGCCTGTTGAATGCCCTCTGGACAGAGAGGAGCTGGGCAGGAGCTCATGGTCTTTTCTTCACACTATGGCTGCATATTATCCCGATACACCGACCACAGAACAGCAGGGGGAGATGACACAGTTCATCAACCTCTTCTCCAAGGTTTTCCCGTGTGATGAATGTGCAGAGGACCTGAGATCAAGGTTGGCATCATTTATTGTTGTGGTTTTTATGTTTGTCCTCTACCATTTTTTAGCAGAAGCATTGCAGTGTTTACATTTATGTTTGGTAGCATGTGTTTCAATGATCTTGTCTCTTATCAGATTGAAAACAAATCAACCGGACACTAACAGCCGGCACAACCTCTCACAGTGGCTGTGTCGTCTCCATAATGACATCAACATCCGGTTAGGCAAGCCGGAGTTTGACTGCAGCAGGGTGGATGAGCGATGGCGAGACGGCTGGAAAGATGGTTCTTGTGACTGAAATGAACATGAGCTAAAAGACGTTGCATACTGATTCTGTGGACCTGTCATTTTTGTTGCAACAAATGCAGGTTGCAGTGCCAATCAGGAGTCATGCATAAACATATACATGTTGACTTTGCACTTAAACTTTGTTCTAATTGATATCATGATTTATCATTATACAAATGTCTAAATTGTGCTTTTAATCAAGAGTGTGTCTGTCTACAAGAGTATGGTGTTATGGCCCATACTTTTTTTTTGGATGGTTGAGCTCTCGGTGGATGTAAATAGCCCAGAGGTAACTGGATGAACTCTGTTCAACAGCTGGAAATAAAAATTTTCTGTTTGTTTAGAGCAGTGGTTCTCAACCTTTTTGACTCCAAGGCCCCTCAATGTCAAAGACTATATTTGGACCCCCTATATTTCTGATACTTTTGCTATAATGACAAAGCTGCTTATTTTCAAAGTTTTTATTTACAGAAACTTGGAGTGGCAACATGATATTAACATAATTATAAATAATTAAATGCCATAATACTAATAACTGAGTGTTCTTCATGGTTTACACTTTTTATTACCAGTGTATTTACATGACTTTTCTCATTTGTAATTTCGGGGGTTTTATTTACTCACAAATAGCAATTTCTACTTAAAATATTAGACCTTGTCTTATATAAATTTGTTTATATACAATTTTATGAACCTAAGTATGTTTTGATAGTCAAAACAATGTCATGCCAAAGGCTCTGTAGGCTATGAAACAAAAAAAAATATGCTGAAGAACATTAGGGTAAAGCAACACTAGATCCTATTGACAAAATATTCTGCATGCCTCCTAAAATGTTCCATTTGGCCTGCTATGGGTGAAGCTGAACAGACCCTATGAAGTTAGCTGACACAACCGTAAGAAATAACATGAGACTGGTGGAATTTTGAAAATCCAAATGAATAGACATTAAAGCAAAATAAATAAGGATTGAAATTATATTATATTTCATTAAATATAATATAATGAAAGAAAAAGAAATACACAAATAAATAAAATAATAGTGTATATAACTAAATCTACAAGGAGGGATAGAAAGCTACAAGGCACTTAGGTCATGGAAAAAATTGGCTACTGTAATAGCTTTTTCATTTTAGAGAGCACAGAGGGATGAAGCAAGAATTTTAAGCTCATTTACAAAATGAGGAAAGGAAGGAGGGGGGGGGGGGGGGGGGGGGTAATGCTTATATTGATATATTTTACCCTTCCCAGTATAAAACTGCACTAGACTAGTAGGGAGAAAAAAATGTATTACAAGGACCAAGATAGAGAATAGTGGCATTAGAACAAGATCTTAAAACTGTAAATTTAGTTTTCAAATAGAATGACACAATCATAAGAAAATCTATATTTATGAATGAAGAATTTAGCAAGTCCGAAAAGGTTGTTAACCAGATAGTGTTGTGTACAATGTTTCTTGAGCACACCAAATTGAACTTGTTCATAGCTAAAGGGGTTGACATGGATGTCGATGTGGTACATTTTGCTGTACAACTGAGAACAGAATAACATACAGAAGAGATTTGGTCAGTTTCAATGTCATTCTCACAAAATTGACAAGAATTTTCCCCCAATATAAAATTTTGACCTATAAGTAAATTATTTTAAAATGGAAGTTCTTTTACTTCAGGGAAAATTGGAAAACTATAGGTAACCCATTCTTATCTCCTTCAAATCAAAATAAATATAGTGTCATCTGAGCTGATTTGGTAGTCTATCAATCTACACTTCTACAAGCATGTTGTTACATAAATTATCTCTTAGAATGGTTACCTAAACATTGGGATGGAGAGGGATGTCACATAGTGTGCAAGAATATCACCATGTTTTGAGGTATGGCACTTACAACTGTGTAAAACACCAGGATGGCATTTTTTAAACAGAAATCATTGTAATTGAGAATATTACCATAACTGTCCATCATACACTAAAGACAAAAATATTCAATTTAAACCAGTTTTCATAATACAAAGACTTATTACGGGGTACAATAAAAAAGATTATTCCAAATACAAGTCTTGTGAGGACTAAAGTTATGAGAAAATGCTAATTTCCAACACAAGAGGACTTGCTGATGAAAGACAGATAAGAGGTTGGAAGACTCGAAATCACACTTCTTAACCACCCACTTTCCCAAACACCGAAGAGAAGACTAGTCAGTAGATGTTGCTGTTGAGAATGTAACACAGAATCAGAGAGATTGCGCACGCCTCTGACAGTGTGTGTGTGTGTGTGTGTGTGAGTGTGTGTGTGTTTGCCTACCTCGACCAAGAGCCCAGAGCCTGAATAACAGTAGGAGGAAAATGGACGGAGTAGGTTCATTTGGCGCTGGGAGAGCCGGGGCTGCTTTCGACCCTTTTGCCTTTATTCAGCAGCCGCAGACCATCCTTAGAATATTATCATGGGTAAGACACTTAATTACCTACAGATATTCATGTCAGCCTAGAGGAGACAAATGTAGTCTGTGAGAATAACCCAGAGCAAATCATAATTATAACGTTTTCATCACACGCTCATTTAATAATTTAACGAGGTCAATGGGGAAATATGACGTTTGTAGATATGCGTTTATTTACGACATGTAAGATTATTTTTCGTTTATATTGCAAATTTTGACGTGTTGATGTCACGAAGCGTATTTGCCTCTGATGACGAGATTACTCATGTGATTCAGAATAATAACATATAGAAGCATGAATAGCCTAAATACACGCGCTCATTCTTGAATCTTTTGTGTTGTTTCGTTTATTATTGTGAGATGAATTCGTTTATAATAGCATTATATTATATTTATCAATAGGCCTATTATCACGTAGACGTGACTTCATATAGGCTATATACCTATGTATAGAGCCTAAATTGATGAACGTTTCTCTTTAATGCAATATAGTTTTTTTTTTTCAGTAAGAGCATCACTATAGTGTATCAAAAATATAAGCGAGTGTCTCATTTTGAGCATTAATGTTGCTCAGAAATGCTGTTTAGATAGGCAGCCCACTAGGTTTTGATCTGCAGCCACAGTCTGCTTCTATATGACCGGCTCCTCGATTCTGATTGGTTGTTGCTTTACTATACGCTCATGTACTGTTACTTCCATTTTTGCATCAGACACACACATCACGTGGATTATGGCTTTGTGCAATAAAATTCTCTTTCAGTCAAATTTTGTTTTATTCCGTGTAAAATAGGTATTAGCCTATATAAATATTTTCAGAAATAAAAGATTTCATACAGAACAGGACATTTTGTCCTAGAAAAGGAAAATATTGATTTAGAACATTTGCAGTAGGCCTACACAATGTTAATTTAATAGCATTGATATGGTCATAAAGTGAATATCATTATGACTGTGTAAGTTTATCTTTCTGTTTCATTTTGTAATTGAAACATTTAAAAAAGATAGACACTTTATAATAGCTTTAATTAAGAACATTAGCTATCAATACAACATTATATAATGCTTATTGTTAGTAAGTTTGAAATAGTTTAATAGTTAGAAATGTAATGAAAAATGTTTATATATATATATATATATATATATATATATATATATATATATACACTCACCAGCCACTTTATTAGGTACACCTGTCCAACTGCTCGTTAACACTTAATTTCTAAGCAGCCAATCACATGGCGGCAACTCAGTGCATTTAGGCATGTAGACATGGTCAAGACAATCTCCTGCAGTTCAAACCGAGCATCAGTATGGGGAAGAAAGTTGATTTGAGTGACTTTGAACGTGGCATGATTGTTGGTGCCAGAAGGGCTGGTCTGAGTATTTCAGAAACTGCTAATCTACTGGGATTTTCACGCACAACCATCTCTAGGGTTTACAGAGAATGGTCCGAAAAAGAAAAAACATCCAGTGAGCGGCAGTTCTGTGGGCGGAAATGCCTTGTTGATGCCAGAGGTCAGAGGAGAATGGCCAGACTGGTTCGAGCTGATAGAAGGGCAACAGTGACTGAAATAACCACTCGTTACAACCGAGGTATGCAGCAAAGCATTTGTGAAGCCACAACACGCACAACCTTGAGGCGGATGGGCTACAACAGCAGAAGACTCCACCGGGTACCACTCATCTCCACTACAAATAGGAAAAAGAGGCTACAATTTGCAAGAGCTCACCAAAATTGAACAGTTGAAGACTGGAAAAATGTTGCCTGGTCTGATGAGTCTCGATTTCTGTTGAGACATTCAGATGTTAGAGTCAGAATTTGGCGTAAACAGAATGAGAACATGGAACCATCATGCCTTGTTACCACTGTGCAGGCTGGTGGTGGTGGTGTAATGGTGTGGGGGATGTTTTCCTGGCACACTTTAGGCCCCTTAGTGCCAATTGGGCATCGTTTAAATGCCACGGCCTACCTGAGCATTGTTTCTGACCATGTTCATCCCTTTATGGCCACCATGTACCCATCCTCTGATGGCTACTTCCACCATGTCACAAAGCTCTAATCATTTCAAATTGGTTTCTTGAACATGACAATGAGTTCACTGTACTAAAATGGCCTCCACAGTCACCAGATCTCTCAACCCAATAGAGCATCTTTGGGATGTGGTGGAACGGGAGATTCGCATCATGGATGTGCAGCCGACAAATCTGCGGCAACTGTGTGATGCCATCATGTCAATATGGACCAAACTCCCTGAGGAATGCTTCCAGCACCTTGTTGAATCTATGCCACGAAGAATTGAGGCAGTTCTGAAGGCAAAAGGGGGTCCAACCCGTTACTAGCATGGGGTACCTAATAAAGTGGCCGGTGAGTGTATATTCTCCACAGACCCAAGGTATGTATAACCAGGGAGTTAAAAAATGTGTCCATTTTATCAACATCAATATTTTAGTTAAAATGTATGTATACTTTATATATGCAGAAATGAAAATGCGTATATTTTATCTGTTGTAACTGGTCACCATTTTACATATTTGACACATTTTAAATAAAGTTTTTATGGTTACTATATTTTTTAAAGTACAAATATAGTCTCTCGATTAATATAAAACTGTAACTATAATTCTACAAAAATGATAAAAAAAATTATCATTTTAGAAGATGAAGTATAACATGTGACAGTGTAAGCTTCTGTCACTGCTTGTCATTTCATATCAACTGCCTTTACACAATAGTATTTAATGTAATAGTATTAAATGTTTAATGTCATTTACAAAGGGTTTTAACAGCATTATCATAAAAACACAGCATTAAGTCATGCGTATCTTTTCTCCTGCAGATCTTCTCAATAGTGGTGTTTGGATCCATAATAAATGAAGGCTACGTCAACCATGGCAGCGAGAGGCTCTATTGCGTTTTCAACAAGAACAACGATGCCTGCAACTATGGGACCACCATTGGGCTCATAGCATTTCTAGCCTGCATTTTCTTCATTATCCTTGACGTGAAGTTCCAACAAATCAGCAGTATTAAAGACAGAAAGAAGGCAGTGATGCTGGACATTGGATTTTCAGGTAAACAATGAGAGCAAGTAAAAACAGACTCAGACTTTCTGTGACTGCATGCTATTTTTAAGTGCTGAATTATTTACGGGGTCTGGCAACGATTCATAATCTCCACAGAAGTAACTGTATTGCCTTCAGACATTGTCACTTTTATTTGTGATTTTGTCTATTTATGTAAACACGGGGGCAGTGAACTATATTGTCATTAGTCTAATATTATTTTGTACATGATTACAGGTTTCTGGGCATTTTTGTGGTTTGTTTGTTTCTGCTTCTTGGCCAACCAATGGCAGCGCACCACCCCAGATGAGCTGCCATTAAATCAGGGAGCGGATGCTGCCAGAGCTGCCATAACCTTCTCCTTCTTCTCCATCTTCACCTGGGTAAATGAGAAAATGGAAATGAAAACACATTTTACTGTCATTTTATGAGAGTGATCGCCGTTCTTGCAGAATACAAATCCATTTTGAGTTGAGTACTTGAGGAAGTTGTTAAATCATGACCTATCTCATCGACATTAGCTTGCTCTACATACTGGTTTCAGCCCTCAGGGGATTGGGAACATGTAATAGAATTACTTCCTTTTCCCTGGCTATGAATGAGGATAAGAATAGTGTTTGGTGCTGTGTCCTGATGTGAGAGAAGCAGTGAAAGACATTGGCTATTTCTTACAGTTACTTACAAGAGTGAAATGTTTATCTCGTCTGTGATTTTTAGAAATCGTTACATAAACGATTATTTTATTTTGTTTATTACATATATATATTATATACTGTAAATGTTTAATTCATGTTTCTTGCAAGGACCTGCAAATGTTGTTTTGATAATACTGTGATGTTTCAGCATCACTGTATAAAATTATGGTTAATAAGTTATGACAACATATGTTTTTACATTGCTTTAACTCATCAAAATAAGTTAAGCAATTTTTGACTTTTTTTATGTTATACAAGATTATACTAATTTTTAAAGTCAGTTTAATGTAATTTAAGTTGAAATGACTTAAACATCCAAGTTGATTGTGCTTAAAAATTTAAGGCAACAACTTTTTTTTACAGTTATGTTGCTAAGGATACAACTTTAGCCATATGACAAAAATACAAAACTAAATGCCAAGTACTAGAATAGTTTGTCACCAATATTTCTGTAGTGCTTTGAGAGCAGGAAAAGTGGTCAGAGTTGAGAGTTGTTATTTTTAAAGAGAGTTTGATTAGCCTGACGTCGTCATACTCAGATTCTAGTCAGAATGTGAGTCTGATACTGCTCCATTGGGCTGTGATTATGGGGTGTGTTTCAACCGAACCAGGAAAAAAAATGCCTCTGCACTCAATTGGATAGACCGAATCCCGTAGGAAGGACGGCAAAAACATCTTTCCGATCGACAAATGCCTTGATCGCGTTTCTCTGTTCCTCTTTTAAAATGAATGCACTGTCTACATCTTATAACAGACGGGATGGCTGAATCTACACATCTAAATTCTCCAGCGGCAGCCATACTTTGTTGTAAACGAATTCAACCCAAGCACTCTTTGGTGACGTGGATGATTACGTTACTGTTGATCATCTGTCCATCATCGTATAAAGCCCGCCCGGACAATTTGATTGGTCCGAACAGCTTTGGTTCGGGCATACTTGCTTCTCAAATGTTGTGGGCGGGGCTAAGTTCGGCTGGCATCCAGGCTAGAGTTTGATAGTAATCCATGACTTTTAGTTGCTTTCTCTTTGTATTTCAGGCTGGTTCGACTGTAAGAGCGGTGCAGAAGTACCTGCTAGGGACCGATATGACCCTGTTCACAACAGAGCACATCGATGGCAACCCTCCCGTCCAGCCCTACCCCACCGTCACAAGCACCGAGCCCGGCGACACATACCAGAGCCCACCCTTCACTGAAAACCTGGACCCCACCGGCCAAACCTACCAGGTGCCAATTTACTGAAACGCTGCCGAGCAAGAGTCCAAGTGCGATGTCATTGGTTTATCATGTGGATGACTGGCACTGCTCTTCAAACTGAAGTGGTGTGACAATGTTCATAGGTAGTACCGTTCTGTGAACTTCTGTACAAGAATATGTCGATTGTGATTTCACTTTCATTTGGAATATTACGTGTTAATTTATCAGCTGGAATGAAACTGATTGAAGGGTATCAGTGTTGTATAAAAATGAAAAAGGTTACGTTGCATGTATTATATTTAGAGAGCTATAAAGTGCCATGCATCCTAAACAATAACTTATATATTCAGTTTCCATAATGTTATTGGGTACTGTATATAAAGTGCAATATCTGAAACATGGAATCACCAAACGTTTGACACGTTCTCCAACTAAAAGCTTACGAGAGGTGGTCTTCCTAAAAGAGGGCGGGGTTTCGCTGTAGATAAGGGTGTCTTCTATATCAAAGGTGTGTAAAAATGGTGTTGATTCAATGTTTGATTTCGTGAAGCCTCTAAACCTGTTGAGACAAAGCAAGATTTGGGATTTTTTTTTTGTGGATTTCGAACAAAAAGTTATTTTATTTTTATCAGAGCCACAATTAGTTGCATTTTAAAAGTGAGGAATACAACTATATAGTTATGTAAAAAGTTGATTTGGCATTTAAAATAAACATATTTGAAGAAAATGGCATTTGAAAGAAACTAATATTTTTATTCATCAAGGACACATTAGATTGATAAAAAAAGAATTCTATTTCCAATAAATGCTGCTCTTTTGAACTTTCTATTCTTCACAAATTCACAGTTATTGCAAAATATTAAGCAGCACAACTGTTTCAACATCGATGATAATCAGAAATATTTCTTAAGCAACAAATGGTAAATGGACTCCATTTATATAGCGCTTTCACAGACCCAATGGCCACCAAAGTGCTTTACATTTTGCCTCACATTCACACACCGATGGCGGTGTCAGCCATGCAAGGCGCCATCCAGCAGCTGGGGTTAGGTGTCTTGCTCATGGACACATCGACACTTGGCCCGGTGGAACCGGGGATTGAACCACCAACCTTCTGGTTTGTAGACAACCTACATGTACCACTGAGCCACTGCCGCCCATTATCACTGCCGCCCAAATCATCATATTAGAATGATTTCTGAAGGACACTAAAGGCTAGAGTAATGATGCTATAAATTTAGCTTTGCCATCACAGGAATAAATTAAATTTTAAAATATATTAAAATAGAAAACTGTTCATTTAATTTGTAATAATATTTTACAATTACTGTTGTAATTTTGATCAAATAAATGCAGCCTTGATGAGCATAAGAGACTTATAAAATATTTACAGACCTCAAATGTTTGAACAGCAGTGTAAATTGCAAAGTGATGTGTTTGGGACACCCTTCAGATATTCATCAGTTGGCTGTTGTAAAAAAAAAAGAAAAAAAAAAAGCTGTTTGGTGACCATCATCAGTGCTTTGTCTGATATGTGGTAGATTTTGGTAATGTTTCTGTGTTCAGAGATAGGGCAACATACAAAAATGATAGTGATTGTACTTCAAAACATGTAAATGAAGTATGTTTGTGAAAGTGGTCAGGGTCTTGTGTTTTCTGTACTTAACTCTGCACTCTTTAAAATGCCTCATGGACCAATATTTCTAATTTACTGAGGTATGTTTTGCTGGATCAAAATTTGCACCTCTAAACAAGTATAATAGGCGATGAAGAGATGTGAAATTAAAAGCCTTATTTAATTTTTGTATTTGTACTCCTTTGAAGGACAAAGTGCAAAATTTGCATCAGTAAAAATGCCTTGACCTAGTCCATAACTCTTTTAAAACAAATATTACATACTGTGTCTGCAGGCAATATATGCCATCTTGTGATTGAAAGATGTACACAAAAGATTTGCTGTTGTCAGTTGGAATGTCTTCGGACTGCAGTTGTCAGACCTTATAAAAATAAAGACATGTTTTTTCATGAGTGGATCACCTGTAATGTGCCCCTTTAATGACTTTTGCATTCCATTATAATGAGATTATTCAGTTGTCAGAAGCTGTACCCTGTAACATTTTGAACTTTCTACTTTAAATTGTTTCAAATGGTTATATAATTATATATTCTGATATAACCCAATGTTATTTAGTTCTAAATTTAGCATAGAAAACGTTTATGTTTACTCAGGTAACCCTGGTTCCCTGAGATAATGGGAACGAGCATTGTGTTAGTTCACTAACTCTTATGGGGAAAACTCCCGTTTTCTCCGAATCCTGAACCCTGATTGGTTCACATCTGAGCAAGTGCACAGACAAATGGCATTTCAGCCTGCCGAAAGGGGCGGGGTTGGCTGCCTATATAAGCCATGCATAAATGCCCAATCGTCAGAATCTTTCGACTGAGGAGCGGCTAGCATAACTCGCTGTGCAGCGCAGTAGCTTGGCAGCTACGCAATGCTCGTTCCAGTTATTTCAATGAACCATAAACGTTACCTTTGACACTTTCGGCACGTAGCATATTCTCGGCCTGAGGACCACTTTACAGTCGTTAGGAATGAACTCAAGGCAGGAAGGTTCCACAGACAGAGCCTGCAGATCTCCAACTCCCTTGACTGACGCTAAAGCCAGCAAGAAAGCAGTCTTAAGCGAGAGGGACCGAAGGTCAGTTGACTCAAAGGAAGGGTCCCAGAGGGCCCTAAGGACTGTGGAGAGGTCCCAGGAGAGGACCGAACACGGGCAGGGAGGATTCAACATCCTAGGTCCCCTGAGAAACCTAACAAGCAGGTTGTTTTTCCCAATCGATTAGTCGGCCACCGGGGCGTGATTTACCGCAATGGCCGCCATGTGTACTTTGAGTATGGAGGGGGCGCGCCCACCGTCCAGCATCTACTGCAGAAACGTGAGAACAGACAAAGTTTCGCACTTGGCTGGGTCTATTTTCCGAGCTAAGCACCAGCTTGAGAAAACAGACCATTTCCGAGCGTAAAGGCGCCTTGTGGAAGGAGCCCTCGCTTCCGAGATCGCTCTCGCAACTTCCTGGGGAAGGCCTGATATGGGCCAAATATGCAGGTACTACATCTCCAGTTGGGGGTACCAAATTGTTGGGGACCTGCGTAAGTAGGGCTACAGGATGGAAGGCATAAAGGAGCAAACGAGGCCATTTCTGTGCCAGCATGTCTATTTCCGTGCCAGCATGTCCATTTCCTTTGAGAAGTATATCTGGCAATGGGAATTCTCTTTCGTCGCGAAGAGATCCACATCTGCCTGACCGAAGGTGCGCCATATCGTGTTGACTGCCTGGGGGCCCATTCCCCCGGTGCCGGTCCGCCGCATGAAAGCATCTCTGCTCCTTCGTTGGGGCAGCCAGTCAAATTGACCGTCCTCACTGAGCGGAGGTTCCTCTGTGCCCAAAGCAGGAGATGGTTCGCCATTATGTGCAGAGGGCGAGACCTGAGAGCTCTTTGGTGGTTTATAAAGGCAGCCACCATCCTGTTGTTCGAGCGGATCACCGCCATCATTTCCAGGCAGTTGATGTGCCAACTTGACATAAGGATCGCCGCCCATGAGCCAAGGCTATTCTGCCGTCGCACAGGGTACCCCAGCCAGTCTTGGAGGCGTCTGTCACGACCACTTTCCTCCTGAAAACCGAGCCCAGCGTAACCCTGTTTTGGTAAAAGCAGGGTGATTTCCAAGGGACCAAGGCTTTGACGCAGCCGTGGGTCACCTTGAGAGTGTGTTGGCCTGTGTGCCACGCATGGGGTGGGACTAGGCCGTTCAACCAGAGCTGGAGTAGTCGCCTGTGGAGCAGGAACAGCGGAATGACCAAGGAAGCTGCCGGAGTTCGCCCACTCTTCGCACTCAGAGGCATTGAGTCTAACTCTTAGTCAGACCTGCCGAACGAGACCATGCCACTCGTGCCAGATGAGGAGCGTCAGCTTGGTTGCAGAGCGTGTAGAATCGGCTTGCCTGCAGAGCGTTGTTGTTCCGCTGCAAGGCTCGTTCAACTGCAAGGAGAGCAAGGCTTCAGTCTTCGGAGCAGTGAGATGATCTTCACGGTGAAGGAGAAAGATTCTGACAATTGGGAATTTCTGCAAGGCAGAAATATAGACTGCCAACCCTGCCCCTTTCGGTGGGCTGAAATGCCATCAGGAACCAGTTTTCCCCATAAGCGTTAGTGAACTAACACAATGCGAGTGAACCGTATCGAAAGGGAACTTCAGAAGCTGTGAAAACAAGAAACACCTTAAGATCCAACTATAAAATTAGATAAGACTAAGGAATAGTTCACTGAAAAATTTAAATTCTGTCATTTACTCAATCTCATGTTGTTCAAACTTGCATGACTTCTACCAGGGAACACAAAAGATGATGTTTGGCAGAAAGGTTCCCTTTCATTTGTTTTACTGTATGGAAAACTAAAAGTGAACGGTCACGGAGTTTGTCAGTCCCTGATATTCTGCCTAAACTCTTAACGCCCGTTCACATCAAGAACGATAACTATATTAATGTCCACACCAGATGATGATATACTGTTTATTGCACATGCTGCAGTTTTGTCGTCTGCCGCTTTAAATGCTCGAGCTCTTGAAAGCAGGATGGATTCTGATTGGCTGTCCATTTTTTTTATCGTTCATCAGCAAGAAAAAAAATTGATTACAACAATATCGCTTCTCTGTGCCATTATTGTTTTAGTTGTGGTGTGGACTCTGCTATTCTTTTATAATTAGAACGATTTTTCATTAGTTATCCTTGGTGCGAACAGCCTTTAGAAATAAAGTTCCATAAAGGCTGTTTTCGCAGCCGATGACATACATTCTTAAAAATAAAGATTCCAAAAGGGGGGTTTTGCAGTGGTGCCATAGAAGAACCATTTCTAGCTTTACCAAAAAACCTTTCTGAGAAAGGTTTCTTAAGAGTCAAGAAACCTTTTTTCGACTACAAAAAACTTTGGTGCAATGAAAAGGCTCCAAACTTTCAGTGATCAATCGACCGCTCTCCCGCCCGTTACGTCACGCCCGCCACGCCCATTTTCAGGCGCGGAAGTAAAATTTTCTCACAAAAACGACTCCAGAAGCTTCTGTAGCGTATTTATAAGTATATTTTAAAGAAAATCTTGTTCCTACATTATTTTTCTATACATTGACTCGTTGGGTCCTCTAACCTGCAATATGCCCTTTAAATAAACTTTTTTTTTGTGTGAAGAACATTTTAATCTAAAGAACCCTTTTCCACTAAGCCGCTTTTGTGCAGTGGAGGTTCCATGGATGGTAAAGTTTCTACATTGAACCACGATTGCCAATAAAGAACCTTTATTTTTGAGAATGTAACATCTCCTTTTGTTACACGTAATAAAGTGCTTCTTAAAATGACAATTGTAATTTTGCATAAACTCTTCCTCTAAATATCACTGTAGTAAATATCACTGTAGTAAATAGTTTTAAGTATGTTGCACACAACAAACAGATGAGGTACAGAGACTGGAGCCTTAATAAATGAATCTTAAGGTTGATAATGTTCGACCAGCATTTATTCTGCAGATATGTCCTGACACATCGCAAATTGTTGACGACAGGGTCTTGCCACAATTAGCCGTTCATGTAAGAGAGATTAGAAACGGTGAGCGTACTGAAGTCTCAACAGTTTTCTATGAGAGGGAGAAAAACCATTTAAGAGGCACAAGCACAATGGTAATTAACAAAAACTAAGCAAACAAATTAAAGAATTATCCATTTAGCCAAAACATTCTGTAATCTGATCCTATCCGCCAACCTTTCAGAATGTCTGTCTGGTGTTATATTTGAAGGCAGGTAAAACTTTTTCACACTGATGTAATTGTGTAACAGAGAAAAGACAATAACGTGAGCCCTAAGGAGTGCCGAGCGGTGCATTGTGTTCCCCTGCTTGATTGTTTAATTGCAAAGTATTTAAGCACAAACAAACATTCAAAAATGTCATTTGTCAAAAATCAGTTGACAGATCAAAGTAGCTTACTGTAAGAAAACTATATATTAACCATTCATTTTTATGTGCTGTAGAGTTTGTAAACAGAAATTAATATATTTCAACTAAACGGCAGGAGCATTCTGAAATAAATAGGGTTTTTTTTAAAGGCAGCCAACCTTACAATTAAAAAAAAAATGACCATGTTAACAGCACTGGAAAAACCTGATCAAAAGAAGTTGTCAAGATGAACTGGAATTAACGTTAGAACTCAAGCCTTCAAGTAGATTAAACCCGTTTCTCTTCAAAACAGTTACAGTTCCACTTACACGTTTAGGGTTGATCTTTCCCCTTTAAAAAAAGGTGTTGTCAAAACTTTCTGAACCTGAACAATCCGAGTAAACATTTTCACTGCAGCTCCGACAACCCCTCATCCTTTCACGCATCTTGCGAATATCCTGGTGCAGCTCCAGGTCGTGTGTCACAGACAGCCGTGGACATGTGTCTGCTGGCAGCTAGCTGATAATCTTGCTTATGGCCTGTAGAGAGGGGAAGTCATCATCGCCAATGTGCTGGGTCTTATGGGTGTTGAAGTCTTTCAGAGCCAGCACCTGCTTACAGGTGGGACACACTTGGCAGTCCAACTCCAGGCTGTTGCTGCTGGTGCATGTCTGCCAGGCTTTCTTTTTGTTTTTTTTAGGCTTCAAGCCTTGCTGCTGTTTCTCGAGAGCCTTAAAGTCTCCGTGGGCAGTGAGAAGCTCCTGTTGCTTGCGAGTGTCTGGTAGGAGAACCAGCAGCTCGTTGAAAACCCTGTTGAAATTCTCTCCCAGCAGCTCCTGGCAGCTTTTGTAGTACTGGACAGCAGGGATTATACCCTGATCAAGAGAAAAGAGAGTTTATTAACATCCAATAAAGGACAAATGTTAGAGATCAAGGTCAAATATAGTGTGTAAACTGATTTTAATAAACACCGAGGTTTTATGTTGACATTTTTTCAAAGAATGTGAAAGGAAGAGTGCATCAAAGGATCTATAATGGGTCAGCAGTTTTCCCACCATTTTTAAACACCTTTCAAATGGTCCAACAGGATGTGACAAATAAAACTTGAAAATAATATATTCAATTCATGTTTATTTGTATAACACTTTTAACAATACAAACAGTTTCAAAGCAGCTTTACCAAAAATGCATGTTTCAAATATTTTAAATACATTCAAAAGTATCAATTAATGAGCTCATAGAAGCTGCATAATAATTATAAAAGACATCATGCTGCTTAAAATAGTTTTAGACATTGCAGGACTAATAATCCAAAAGTATTTTATATCAATATAACACTGAAAAAAAAAAAAGAAGAGTAATTGAAATCTTGGTTTGAAAGTTACCTGTCTAAACTGGCCTGAATAATTTTTGAACTCATTGAACTTGGTTTCATCATTTTGAAGGAAATTCTTAATAGACTGAATAAGGTCCATGTTTCTTTGCTGGAAATTTTCAGGTATGAGGTAGGATCCAATAGCAGGTGTCGGTCTGAAAGAAAACAATGCCTGAGTGAGGTAAAACACTTCGTTAACTTCAAATACTTAGTTTAATGCAACCTATTTTTGCATTAAATCAAGGTAAATATATCAAACAGAATTCTCTGTTGTGAAGTGATGTTATAGTGAAATACACCCTACCCCCTACCATTCAAAAGTTTAGGATCGGCATTGGTATGATAAAAAAAAAAAAAAAAGGTATTTTATGCTCAACCAGGCTGCATTTATTTGATCAAAAATTTCAGTAAAATAGTAATACTGTGAAATATTCTTACAATATAAAATAACTGGTTTCTATTATAATATTTATCTATGTAAATGTAATTTATTCCAGTGATGGAAAAGGTGAATTTTTTCATCTTTACCAACACCCTTTAAAATTATTTGATCCATAGAAAGTTCAAAGGAACAGAATTTATTTGAATTAGAAATCTTTTGTGATATTGTGTATGTCTTTACTGTCACTTTTAATCACTATAATGCCTCCCTGCTGAATAAAAGAACTACATTTATTAATACTTCATAAAAAATCATTTTAACCCCTTACATTTGAACGGTAGTGTAGGGAAAAATATATGTACAACAAATGTTTAATTTTAGCAATTTTGTGTATATCGTGTGCCAAAAAATGCAATACAATAAAAATACTGTTAAACAGGAAACCTAAGAGTATTTAGACATTTTCTGGTTTTCAAAGGTTAGCGGATCAAGTTCATAGTTAATGAGATAAACTACACATGAGGGGAACTGACTCCATAAATTCACTACAAATCACCTTGACACCAATTGATTTAATGTACTTGCAAAAAAAAAAACCCTAAGAAAAGTGAATTTAGTACTGAGAAAAACATGCCACTTGGTTTCTTACATTAAACAAAATATGCATTATATATATTGGTGCATTATATCGACATTATCTCATATTTTGGTTTTGAAACAAAGACTATGGAAAAAACCCTTTTACGTACTCAAAATAAACCAGTGACAAGAAACACCACTTCCCCTTCACATCACACACACCTATAAGAGTACACATCACGTCCTCTAACCTGTTAACATCCGACACTGATGACTCCACCACATTACTGTTGAGTGGGATGCCAGTGAATCCTGGGGGAGGTTTGCTGACAACAGACCCGAGGCCAGGAGGAGGAGGAGGAGGCAGTGCACTCTGAGTGCTCTTCAACGGAAAAGCACTTTTAAAGCCTACGAAACACAAGGAAGCACTTATGAGTAGGGCTGCAAAAAACTGACAATGCAATATTTTGTTTTTTTCTGCCATATATATTGTGATATGAAAGTTTCGCCAGATGGCTTGAATAGCAATTTGGAAAGAATTAATCATTCAAGAGCGATTGGAGTGATTTTGTTAGGTAGTGCATTAGCATAGAAAATAAAAAAGAGAAAAATGACTTTTTACTCTGAAGACTTTAAGAGCAAAATCCTAAATCATTTGGGAAACCTTGAAACATTTGTTGCGGCCTCGCAGTGTTAATTTAGAATAATTTCGTCAATGACATTTTTTTTACAGACGAAAACGAGACGATAACTAAAAAAACAGTTTTGAATAACAAAAACTATGAGGAAAATTTTCGGTAGGGACGAATTGGGAAGAGATCCAGTCAGAACTGATGTCCTGCGTTTGTGGTTGATGCACAGGCGGGACATGAGTTGGCATCCGCTCGATGCATGTCTGGGAGAAAGAAGAGCAGACAAATGGATAGATCTGAATAAGAGTGAAGACGCAAAAAAGCGTTCTATTCGATACGCTTTTCTGTGCGCACACACCCGAAGCGTGAAGCCATGCACATAGAAAGCTATACAGAGCGCGAGTACTGAATTGAGCTCTTTTGCATCTGAATGGACAAATACACACAACATTATGTCTATGTCCGTTTTGGAGAGTATTCACGTAAACACAGTCGGTTATGTCTTTACAGAACATAAACAGTTGTGATAATATCGGATGTGATCAGTGCATAAAAGTGCAGTGTGTAATAAACCTAATGCCGTCTGTGCCCTTAATATTAATCAAACAACAAAAGGAAAAGAGAAAAGCATTCACTGCTCTTTAATAGCTTTAATAAGGATTAATTATATTTAATTTATACAAATGATTATGTCTGCTAGAAAGAATAAAGAATGATGCATGCAAGTTGTTATAAAGAATGCAAATATCATTCATTGAAAAGAAGACCGTATACTACTTTAGGAGAAGTGGTTTTATTTAATTTAAATAAATTCAAATAATATAATAATTTATATTAACAGGTTAATCAATGTTTTCTCCGGGAGTATATAATGGGTTTGGAAATTGAGAAATTCTAAATTAACGCATTACAATTTAACTAAACCCATTCGATTTTAGTCGACTAAATCTACTGTAGATTTAGTCTACTAAAATCTTATCGTATTTCGTAGACTAAAACTAGACTAAAACAAACAATTCAGATGACTAAAACTAAAAATAACTCAATTTGCGGTCAAAATTAACACAGCGGCATCGTGGGCAGCGCTCCGACATGAAGCGCAGTTGCGCTGCGGGCGACACAAGTTTGAGTCCCGGCTTGTGGACCTTTCCAAATCCCCTCCCACTTCGCGTCCTATCAAATAAAGGCAAAAATGCCCCAAAATAAATCTTTTTATTTTATTTTATATAATAGCAAATAAATAAAAGTTGGTGTTCATAGTTGGGTGAACCAACTCAAACCATAAAGTGAAGCGATTTAAAAATAAATAAATAATATACATTTTTTATTGTGACTATTATTAACTACACATCAAATAAAAGAAATATATTGAAATACTATTATGCTGTAAAAAAAGAGTAATAAAATGTATTACTTTACTGTAGAATTACAATACTAATATTTAAGTCTTAATTTCTTCATTTTCAGATGGTATCAAAACAAAACAGTGCTTTTATTCATCAAGCTTTTATTTTGATGGGTTGTCGTAAATTACGTGCTTCACAAAATGCCGCCTGTGAGATCTGACTAAGCCATATCGAGATATCGATTTTATTTCGATATATCATGCAGCCCTACATAAAAGCGATGTCATTTTGTGAATTGCCTCTTTTAAGAAAGAAACCCTCTTACCAGGTGGAGGCTTTTTGGAAACAAGAGCTGGGAAATCCTCTTCTTTGGATGGAGGGGCTTGATCAGTAACTGTCTGCTTGAAAGGGGAAGGAACATTTTCAGGAAATGATGTACAGGACAGTGCTTCTACTGGCTTCTCCGCGAGTCCATTTATAAATGAGTTTGTTTTGGGCGCAGCGGGAGCTTTGGCGAGACTGGTATCTGGTGGCTTCATCTCAGGAACGTTCTCTTTGTGAGCCATTTTGGACACGGACTCCGGAGTGTGCGAGGGAGAGCCCAGAGATGAAGTCATCGCTGGCTTCTTCTTCTTACTGGCTTTGGGGTTGGGGTTGGGGCTGAGCTGAGATGAGCCACCTTTCACTGTCAGCAAAGTGGAAATGTCAAGCATAGTCGGTACCGTCCGGATCTCCTGGGCTGTTTTACCGCTCTGGGGGTCCTCATCATCAGACGAGGATGGACATTTCACTTTAGGTGGAGCTTTGTGGGTTTCAGCAGGGGTGAGCTTCTTTTTGCGGCGAGAAGAGGCGGCAGAGAGAGGCTGAGGCACACTTCCACTGGGGGGCGGGTCACTAGCGGACAGTATGGATGAAGAGACCACATGGGCTGTTTTGGTGGGCAGAACTACAGGTTTATTGGGAACCACCACAGGTTTGCTTCCAGCTTGAGACCAGGCTGACGTTGTGCTCGACTGGGGCTTCAGTGGTTTGATCTTGGAGACCAGTGCAGGGAAGTCCTCCTCCTGGAAGGATGAATGTTTCTTGGGTTGATTTGTGTATGCAGGTGTCATTGGAGAGGAAACTAATGAGCCAGACAAACTTGGAAAATCATCTTCCTTCAGGGAGACAGAAGTTTGTTTGATCGTGCTGCAATAATAGGGAGACATGACATTGTTAATCGCTGATCTGCTCAAATTGAAGGGATACTTCACCCAAAAATTAACGTTTTGCAATCATTTACTCACCCTCAAGTTGTTCCAAACCTTTATGAGTTTCTTTCTTCTGTTGAACACAAAAGAAGATATTTTAAACAATGTCAGTAATCAAACAGTTGACGGTAACCATTGACTTCCATAGTAGGATACTATGGGCGTCAATGGGTTACCGTCAACTGTTTGATTACAGACATTCTTTAAAATATCTTCTTTTGTGTTCAACAGAAGAAAGAAACTCATAAAGGTTTGGAACAACTTGAGGGTGAGTAAATGATGACAATTTTCATTTCTGTGTGAACTATCCCTTTAAACTCAATGTATAATACTAGATTACGTGGTGCTTGTCCATGCAAAACTCGGTACAATGCCGCTAGGGCGTTTCTTGCTGTTGCTAATTCTAAGTGCCCACCCACCCCTTAATCTTTAATTGATATTCTGGCAAGTAGGAATGCTTGGGTCCTCTCTCTGACATCATTCCCCTTTTTGTTTTGGGTTTTTCTGCATATTTTTCCATGCTGATTGCACCTTATGACAAAAGCAGTTCTGTTTAAATATTTTTCAAAGAAATAATAATAAAAGATTATGCCAAAATAGCCAAACAAAAAGGTTTTGTTTTCAAGAATTCGGACGACTTTTTATGTCATTATGATAGCAGGATACTAGATTTGGAGGACAAAAGCAGTGTTTTTTTTATGAAATAATAACAAATGACTATGCCAAAAAACCTAAGGTTTTGTTTTCAAGAATCCCTTTCATTATAATTTCAGGTAGTGTAAGTTTAGTTTTATTTATATTCCATAATATTATTTATTAATATCTTATTTAAATAACTTTTTTCATTTCATTTTTAGTTCACGTTTTTAGTAATCATTTTATTACTTTTTTATATAATATTTTTATTAAGTCTTAATTTTTATTTCAGTTTTAGTTCAAGTATTTTATTACTTTAGTACTTTATTTTACTAACTTTTTTTAAGTTTAATTTTTCAATTTGATAGTTATATTTAATTTTATTTGCGCTTTATTTCAAATAATGGAAATTATCTATAATAATTTTAGCTTTAGTTTTAACAGCAACAACTCTGATTTATTTATTTTTTACTTAAAGGTGCAGTTTGTGATTTCTAGCGGCATCTAGTGGTGAGGTTGCGAATTGCAATCAACAGAAGTTAGGGTTGCCGACAGGAAAGATGTCGTCGTCTGAGACATCAGAGAGTGGCCAGTAAAGCAATGAGGTTTCTTTACAAAAATAAATGAATAAATTAGGTTTACTTAATTATTCAGTAAAATGATATGTTATTGCAAATATTATTGTTACTTGTTCATCATTGTGTCTGTTTTATTCGCTGACCCTCTTGCTTGAGGGTGTGCAAGGTCTAAACAACTGCACTCTTTTGCAGTTGTTTAGAGTTAATTAGTTGATTCAGATGATTAGGTTAATAGCTCGTTTAGAGACCCTTTTCATGATATGCTAATTTTTTGAGACAAGGAATTTTGGGTTTTCATGAGCTGTATGCCAAAATCATCAGTATTAAAACAATAAAAGACCTGAAATATTTCAGTTGGTGTGCAATGAATCTAAAATATATGAAAGTTTAATTTTTATCATTACATTATGGAAAATAATGAACTTTATTACAATATGCTAATTTTTTGAGAAGGACCTGTACACTACTGAAAACATAGTTATGTATATGATATTGTATTTCTGTCAACAGATCCTCCTAAATATTGTAAATATATATATACACAATGCACCTTTAATGACCTCAGAAACATAAATTTGAACTCGGGCATTAAAAACATCACAGAAAGTAGTGGATAAATGTCAATGAATGTGAATTTGAATAAATTAATAGATCTGGATAAAATAAATGCGCAAGCAACCAATCACTACTAATAAAAAATGCAAATTACCAATACTACATGAAAAAATACATAAACGTGACAAAAAAAACAGGACAAACATACCTTTGAATTGGGGCTGGAGGTGCAGCTGCCCCTGCCCCTAAAACTGGGAAGTCCTGACCAGCCAAAGAGGCATTACTCTTCATTGATCGAGCTGAAATATAGGTAAACATGCAGTTTCATCCACTTTAAAAAAATAAATAAAAATAAAATTCAATACCACAATTTATCATATTTTCCATTCTCATACCTTGCATTTCAATCGCAGGCTTCGCTGTGCCTCTGTTGTTTCTTATTTCATCTGGCTCCATCTTTTCTTCTTTGCGTGGCTTCTGACTGCTTCTGTCTTGCGCATGGCTTCTCTCTTCTTGTCGGCTGGCCATTGAAGCTCGCAAAGCAGCGGCCATCTCTCGGTCCTCTTCCTCTCTGCAGAACAACAACTCTCTCAGTCTTCCTGGGCGATCTTATATGTTTAGAATGCAGCACTGATGAGGACCTACCGAATATATCTCCAGCTCCTGACGTTCTGCTGTCCTCCTGGGCCTCGTCCTCTACCTGGTCTTCCCGGTCTGTTGAAGCGATCCGCTTCCTCATAGTCATCGCCACCAACTACCAGACCTAAAAAAGCCATTCAAATGAGTTGAAGGACAAATAAGCGGCACCTGAATAATCATATCCAACTCACAAAAAGAGCAAATTCTGCTTTACCGTCATTTCTTCGTTGCTGTCTGGGTGCATAGCTGAACTGAATGTCGATTTGGCGATTCTGCCGTGCCTCTGCCCGGCTTTTGCTGTGGGCAGCAGCTTTGTGAGCCTTATAGTCAATCTCTGTGCGGAAAGCGTGAGTGAACTGCTCTGAACTGCAGCGCCCTTCCTCGCAGAGATAATGGCTCTCTCTGAAGTGCTCGCTGAGGTACTGGTAGTCACTGTAGGAAAAAGTTTTTTACATTACGATATAATGATTTTGTAGTTTAGCTGACACTAGGTATGTTTACATGCACTACTTTTCGTCAGTCGGAATGAATCCAATCTGATTTCAGCAAATATTTAGTTCAGTCTCATCCATTAAATAGTTTGTAATAATGAGAAAACATACACGTGTTTGCATGGCATAAACCATGTAAACAAACGCATAACGGCACTGCACATGTGCGCAATGTAATTTTTTATCCGATTGAGAAATTAGTCGGATTCAAATGTTTAGAAGCTTAATTTTAAGATTTTAAAAATGACTGTTGATTGTATTATTTCATGTCTATCTACATGACCCCTTTCAATTCGATCAAAAATTGAATTCGTGTTTTCATGAAGGTTTTTCAGTCCAAATGAGCCATTATTCGGGTGCATGTGAACGAGTTACTTCTGGAAATAAATGTTAATAGAAGTAAAAAATAGTGAACAGATGGAATTTTTAACATGTATATTACATTCTTCAACAGATATATTCAATCGGATATGGACACCCTATTTGGACTATGTTTCTCTCACTTTGGACGATTGCTTACTTTTTTCTTGAAAGCTGTTGTGTTGGCTCAAAGCGAGAAGCCTATTCCTGTGAATGTTTATGTATCTTCCATTGTAACCTATCTTTTTATTTTATTTCATTGCAAATTGATTTGAGAATTGTGCATTTAAGGTCTGCCCGAACTGTTGTCCTTTTTTTTTTTTTGGTGTTGTTTGTTCTGTTGGAACAAAACTAACAAAATTTCAATAAAAAAAAAAAAAAAAAAAAAAAAAAAAAAAAAAAAAAAAAAAAAAAAAAAAAAAAAAAAAAAAAAAAATAGTGAACAGGAACTGGTCTTCTACCTGTAATACTCCTGAGCTCCATCTGCATCACAGAAATGGCAGAAGTAATGATCTCGTCGCAGGTGCTTCAGTAGCTCATCATTGTCCAGGTAACGATCATCACAGAATTTACAAAGCGGATGTCCACGATGCGAGGTGTCATCCGGGTCCCCTTGCGTTCGATGGCGAGCCAGGTCTTTTCGATTGTACCACTTCCGCTCGTACGAGAATATCTGTATACAGTTTGGCAAAATATTCATTGTACGACTGAGGAGCTTGCAAACAAAATAAGTCAATAATAAATTAAGATCTAATACGCTACCTTCAGATGCTTAGCACATAACTTGCAGCAGAAGAGCTCATGTTGTTTCCGCATATGTTGCTCTAATTCTTCAAATTTGGAGAACACTTTTGGTTCTGGACAATGTGGACATTCATGTAACAAAATCTTCCTGCATTTGTAGTAAAAGATTTTAAAAAAAAAAACACTTGTAAGTAACAAGTATCATCAAATGGTGTTGATATTAAGGTAGAAAATAGGGCTGGGCGATGGTTTTGCTGGCAATATAAAATTAATATATTGTGGAGACCTAAATGGACTTTTTATTTGGTACAAGTAAATTGCCTAAAGATGGCATCAGAGCTGGTAACCGATTCGCTGATTAACACGGTTCCATTGTGTTGATTCACAACTCTGATTCAACTTAGAATCTCAAAAAATGTCTTGATAACACTTTATCTTCCAGTGTCCTTGTTCCACAGTTACTGTAGTAATAACTATAAATTATGCATAATTGCATGCAACTAACCCTAAACCAAACCCTCTTCCCAACCCTACAGTAAGTGTATGTAGTTCATTAAATATTACTCCATACTTAAATTACATAATTACACTGTAACACGGACAACTTAAAATAAAGTGCAACAAATGTGCCATTTTTTTTATACATTAAGAAGTTTTAGTAAAATACATGTGAACATCGCAGTTTATTACTTTGTGCTGTTAAATTATTGTTATAATAAAATATATACAGTGGTGCATATAAGAACATTCTTCAGAGAAACTAAGTGGAAAACATGGCTTGACTATTTTAACAATTTAATTTAGTAAACATTTTTAATATACTTGGCAACAATGATTTTTTGGTTGAAATGACAGTTTATCTAAGTTCTGAGCGAATATAATACACATTGAATATTGTTAAAAGGCTAAAGGCTATTTAGACAATTTAGTATCTCTACTGTAAAAAAAAAAAAAAGGTAAAATGAACACCTGAACTGCGCATAGATCTTCCCATCTCCAAAATAGATGTCATATTTCTTCTCACACTGATATTGATGAATTTTCAGAGCAGCAAATGGTTCAGGTTTCTTTATGAAGACCACCTGGGATATTAAGAAAAATAATAAATCACATTATTAATTACAGGAGAGAGAAAGAAATCTGATTTTTTTTTTATGAATGAAAGACTTCCTTAAACAAAATGAACAACGTTGTCAATCAAGCAAAAGCAGACTAAAAGCAGAGTCGTGTATATCACATGTCAAACTTGCTGATTAGTGTAACTTGTGCTAAACAGGCACTTTAGAGCCGTGCACTCTTGATCGATTGACACGCGAGTAACTCACCGTCAACATGACGTCACACTTTGACAGCCTGTCAGAGAAACTACACGTCTAGTATTTTCTACGGGAGTTATCAGTGAAGCAGGTTACATAACAGCACAACTCACAGCTGTCCCAAAATCATGTGTATTAAACAAAAACAAATGAACTTTGTCCCTATTGTATCCATGGCTTTCACATATGTCTTAACAAATGTGAAGTAAACTACACTGTGAGGGACGAAGCAAAAAAGTCAACTAACGTTAGTTGTCACGGGAAACGTCAGGCAATAAATCACCACTGCTATGCTAAACCAGCTAACACCTGAAACCAAGCTTCCAAGTTTAACAACAAGCAAAAACAGATATCATAACAATTACTCAAACAAATAGATCTAGTTCACTTCTAAGAGATGACAAAACGGAACTAGCTGCTAAACCTTTTCAGGTCATCTCGACCTAACAAACACAACCGCTGCCTTTATGAATCGACATGCTAGCTAACGTTAGTGTGATGGGAGTGGTGAGGCCGTGTTTCCGCGTGTGTGAGGTGTGTGTACAGCAGTAGTGACCGAGGCCTGTGCTCTCGCTGCTGGAGGAGAGGAGAGGGCGAGGCGGCACCTTGTCGAGCTGTTCCCGGCAGACGGCGCAGTACTTCTGCTCGCACAGCACCCGCATCTTGGTGGAGCAGCGGTAACACACCGGGTGATCGCACTTCCCCACCGCGAACATGTCGATGTCCTGGCAGCACAGCACACATGTGCTCTCCGTGTCTTTCTTAAGGGTGGATTCCATACTGTTAGAAGGCACTGGCTGTGTGTGCGGTAGCTTTCTCGGTATAATCCGTATGGATTTGGAGGGCTTGTTGTAAACGACAGTACGGGCACGGGCAGTGAGGCCGGGTGAAGCGCGCTCCTGAGTGCGTAATCGTTCAGCGCAGTGCATTGTGGGGACTGGTCCACTCGCCTTAGACAGGAAGAGCTTTTATTATGACACACCGGACTTTTATACTGCATTCCGTGCGTGAAGTAATATTCTAATTATATTAATATGCTTTAAAATATACAAAAAAAAATTGTATAATGTTATATCAATATGATTTAATTATATTGCAAAAATCATTAATATAATAATACATAATATAATGCATTACACATTTACTATAACATCAATTTAACGTAAAGTTTTTGGGCCAATTTCTGCTCATAAACAATGTGCAAAATCATGAAAGATTTTTTAAATATATATTGACTTAATATTCATTCAACTGTCAGTATTACTTAAAATGACCATATATGCATGCAATGACAAATACTCAACAAGAGACATTCAGATGTGCGATGAAACTTTATTCAATACAAAATACATAAATAGAGCATTTGCAGGTGAAATCAGTGGCAGAAAATATTTGTACACATAGAAATACATTTATATATGCAGACATCAAAGCTGCGGTGACAAAAAAACAAAATAGGGCAACTCACCATCGATTGCAAAAATTAATTTTACCTCTACCAATCCCTTTTATGACAGCCATAACAAATTTGATAAGCATAATAAAAATAAGAATATTCATTTCCTTGGCTAAACAAATTTCCCTGTCCAAGTTCAACAAACATTCAAAATTAGAAAAAAAGTAGTCCATACACAGGACCATAACTTTCTCTTTTTTCCTTTTTTTTTTTTTAAAAAAAAGCACAATCTGTGACTGATGAAAAGGCGTCAGCCAAATAGCTAAAACAGCCTTGATATGTGAAGACCAAACCGTAGTAGCACTAGACCACTAGATTGCCAGTCTCATCATAATTACAGATTGCTTTGTTAATTAAAATCGCTTGGTTCAACCCAGTTAACTGCTGCATTAGCATGGATGTACTGGGGCAGTTTAAGGGCATAAAAGCATAAATTCTCATTCTGACACATAATAAATGAAATAACATTCCACATAAACTGTGCAATTCATTATTCCATCAGCATTGGCATCAGAGTCTACATCCCAAAAGTGAAGCAGTAAAACGGGTCAAGCTGACAGAATGAAACATTCAAAGGCAAACAATAAAAAAAAAAATCCGGTGTGAGGCACCAAATCAGCATTGCGTTAGGGTGAGATCTGAAACAGACATGGGTGTTGTGCTTTCAAGAACTAAAAGTCTTGGCAGTATATGTGATATGCATCTACTGAATAAAACACGAAAAGTGTAGCCCAAACAAATGATATAAAGAGTCGTCTTTAAAATAACCGCTGCAGAATTTAGAAAATGTAAACAGACAATTCACAATACTTGTGCAGCTAGATGGTTAAAAACCTTAGACTCTCCCTCAACAGATATGTTCTTCTAAAAACCATCCCTTAAGGAATACAGCATTTGATCTCTTAACGCTTACCTATGTGCTGTATCATTTAGACTTTCTGTGACTTTAAATCTACATATAAATATAAAACTCATTAATATTGCAGCAATTAGCAAATATATATGTGTGAGCTTTTTAAAGAGAGTGATGCAGTGCACATTGATAATGGAAGGGCTATTGTGAGTGGTGTGGTTTTCTGAACCCTAATGCTCATTCTGTATTCAGACAGACCATGAGAGGCTGATTTATGCAGGTGCAGTCTTGAACGCGCTCCATGCATGGAAACAACGGGTAAAACAGTGAGGCTCGTTGCCTTTGCGCACCAGGCGCAGTTTTCTCGGGTGCTCTGCATCCTTGGACCTCATGTGTTGAATATAGACCTGATTGAAGGGCGACACAAATGTTAAGCAGGCATGGGAAGTGCTGGTGTACAATAAACTAAGTGTACAATAAAACTGCCACTCAATATGTCACTGACCTGACAAGCCTTCAAGCTCAGTTTAATCTCAACCTGGCTTGTCTGTGTGCCGACCCACATGTAAACCTGTAAAACAAGCAAACAAACATCTCAACAAAATAGTAGCAGTAATATGTTTTTTTAATGCAGTGTCAGCATCTGAGGCTATCTTAATGGCAAAAACAGAGTTACAAAAATACTAGAGTTGCATAAATATAATAAAAACAAAACGGAAAACAGCATGAAATATTATAGAAGATGTTTTACATTACCATAAATTTCACTAAAGTTCTTAAGCAAACTCTCAAACAACAGAAAAGACAACTCAGCAAAAAAAAAAACCCCAAAAAACAATTGCTGCCAGGATAATCTGTTCGGGTGCAAGCATGAAGCTCTACCTCTTTCCCATTGTCCAAAAGCATGATGTCATCATCAGCCAGGTCATCTTGACAGAAGTCTGAGCACTTCTCTGATACAGCAAAGTAACCCTTTTCATTTGAGCACCTGAGATCAGAGATTAAATCTATTATTACCTCAAAAATATGGTGAATGAAGAGAGGCAAATTACATAATTAGATAAATAAACATAACTGTTGAAAAGTTTATGGTCAGTATGCTCACCAAAGGTGCATTTATTTGATTTAAAATATCATACATACACTACCATTCAAAAGTTTGGGGGCGATGAGAGTTTTTAATGTTTTTAAAAGTCTCTTATGCGCGTCAAGGCTGCATTAATTTGATAAATACTGTAAAAACAGTAAAATTGGGAAATATTACAATTTAAAGTAAGTTTTCTATTTTAATATCTTAATGTGATTTATTCCTGTGATGCAAAGCTGAATTTTCAGCATAATTACTCTTCAGTGATCCTTCAGAAATCATTCTAATATGATGATTTGCTGCTCAAGAAACATTTATTATTATCATCAATGTTGAAAACGGTTTGATATTTTTGTGAAAACCATGATACATTTTTTTAGGATTCTTTGATGAACAGAAAGTTCAAAAGTTTTTGAAATAGAAGTCCTCCTGTGGTGAAAAACAAGATTTTAATGTTGTTTATATGTCTATGTGGTGTTTTTAAAATCCTTTAAGACAAACCATGTGCAAATTCATAAATCAACACCATTTATGAGTATGTTCTCTTTAAAACTGCAGTGATCTAAAGACAGTCTCAAAAACGCGGTTTGAAATGAAGGCATGAAGAAATTCTCACAGGAAAAAAAAACGTTTAAATATGTCTTTTCAAAGATGAGTTTTAAGGGATAAAATTATTGACTACAGGGGGACTCTAACATTATAAAATGTCTATCACTTTTGGTTAAAAAATGCATCCTTGCTAATTAAAATATTTTTTCTCCTTTAAAACAGCCTAAACAGCCTAGCGTATTTTTTCTCACCTAAACAGTCTAGCGTATTTCATGTACTCTGCATCTTCATCGTATGGCTTCTGTGAGCCAATGCCAACCCAGAAGAAATTTTCTGGCTCTTCTCCTTCATTTATCACCTGAAGAAAAAGAAAAAAATAGTTTAAAAAATAGTCAAGATGATGTAGAGAGCATGTTTTTGATTTTCATAGCTGGAATGAACCTGTTTGCTGTAAGTGTCATCAAACATGGTGTTCATGATGTCCTCTGCCAGTTTAGCTTCATCAGGGTCTGCTGCTCGGCCCACCCATGTGTAAACTATTCCCTGGTTGTCTGTACTTTCAAATGGCACCTAAGTAATATTTTAGTTATTTAGTTATTATTTAATGATTTATAATACATGAAAAGGTACATCAAATGCCAGTTTACCTTCAATATGAAGCAGAATTCAGAGTTGAGGTTACTGGAATCTGTGGCTATTTGAATAGTCCTAAAACACAACAGAAACACCACACATGTTCATTTCTTTGAGTTTAGAAATAGCTGATGAAAAGATACTTCCTGCACATACATTATATAGTTACCTGGTGCATAGCGCACTTCCATTTGTCCTGATGTGGTATAAGCTTGGCTGCACACTGTCCACTTTCAGCTTCCTCTTGCCTTTGTGGATGATGAACTTTCTCTTGAAGTGTGACAAGAACTTGAGATTCTCCTGTTGCTGGGTCATCCTCACAACCTGAAATATGCATGAGATATGACTTCTCCTTAAAATAAAAGTTACCCCACCCCACCTCGATCTTGAATGAACACCGTTTGTGTGTGTGTGTGTAAGGAATAATTGACGACAGGCCATTGAATTATTCAAAAAAATAATGCACACCAGTGGTAGTAATGGTAATTATTTTTCAATAATTCAACGGCCCGGAGTCAACTATTCCGCTTATACTACGGTTACCACACCTCAAAACATTGTTCAGATATTGTAACTCAAGACATTTGTCAGGTTTTTGTCCTTAAAACGCTCTTGTGTGTAGGACTAATTTCTTACGGATCTCATCCCAAGCCCCCGTTGCAAATTCCAAAATGTTATTTTAGAGCTAGTAATGGAGGCTTCAGTCAGACAGTACTGTTAATAAGTCTGTTCGGAGCATTTCGCTTTTTATTTCATGAGATTTGGGCCAAATGACAGAAGAAACTAAGCCCCCACATAGCTACAGTAAACTTTATAACCTGGAAGTTGATGAAAACTTACTGCCTCAGATACGGCCGTTCTAATGACGGACAAAACACGCATGTTCGAAATTCGAGCTTGATTTTGGTAACATTTGTTAACAATATAATGGCACATGCAAGTGTCTGACCATATATAAAGCCGAAATATCAACGTTGACAACGTGCATTTAATGATTTAAAAATATAGTGTTTTTTCCATTTCCTGAAAAGTAGCATTTTTGGTTTCCACCCGACAGAGACTATATGAGGTCAAGGCAATAAGAGTCACTACAACAAAATGAAGATGAAATATGAGATCAATTTCATAATGGATCCATTTAATTAACCATGTTAGCATGCAGTACCTCCAGTTTGCCTGGGAACAAGCTCTCAAACTTCTTCTGCAGGCTGAAAGTGAAGGTCAACCAGCCCATGTTGGAGGCCTCACGGCCCTGCCAGAAGTAAACCACACACTGGAAGTCTTCCTCAGGCTGTTTGTCCTCATCATCTCCCTCTTCTCCTTTTACTTTTTTTTTCTCCTGATCATCCTCATACTCCACTGGCACC